TAAGTGAATTATTATAAAATTTTTCATAAACTTGTGCCAATGTATTTTCTATACACCATAATTTTTTCGAGAATTGTTCTTTATTTTTTCATTACATTCTAAATGCAAATGTTTCATAACCCGTCAATCTCCAAACAATATGTTGTTTAAAATCGGGATATAAAACATTTTATAGATATCATTAAGACATCTTGTACACGTAACATCATAAGACGTCTTATAATACCTTATATTTCTATTTTAGACAGCGTGTTGTCTAGAACGCACAAAAAATTAAAAAAATTAATAACTTGAAAACGAATCAGTCAATTGATCTAAAATTTATTACAGGTTTTCATGATATATAAATGCACAACTCCTGTAAATTTCAGCTTTTTCCCTCTATTTTAACTTAAGTAACATACATACTTAAAAATAACATGTCAAAACGAGTTCAAAATTGGATGTTGATGGAAAGAGAAGGGAAACGACATGGCACTCGAATTAAAACACGCAGAAGAGTCGTGACAATTGACTTGTGCGCTGGATACGGCGCAGTTTCGTGAAGCATTATCGCACATCAAGCGCCAAAAAAGGCGTGTGTGTGTAACCAGCAAACCACAACAAGTAGCATAAATGTAAATGTTACGTAACACGAGTACCTGAAAATGTTACATATTATATTACTCATATGGTTAACGTTGCGTAGCTGATATAGCTCTATGTCAGCAACTTCGAAAATATCATTTATGTAACATATACATTTTCAAGCAATGTTACAGTAACGTAACATAGACATATATGTTACATATTTTTCTATATAACCTAATCCCTTACAACACGATATTGATGGAATATTGCATGAAATATTTCTGAAAGTGTGCCACAATCCTAAAGACATAATTTTGGGATATCGCAATAATAATAAAGAAAGAAGTGTGAACAAATTCTGGGTTTTAAAGATTATCATAGGAGCTAACATATTTTCGCAGCCGTGTATGAAGAACCGTAAAATTGCGGTTACCACCCATCTAACAATAAGTTTTAACCACACTCAACGTTGCTTAACCTTGATAATGATCGGACGGGCTAGCGATAATCTTCTGACATTTCCTTCCTGCTACGTAATATGTTTGTACACACGTACATATACTCAAGGATAGGAAAGGTACTTTTTAAAAATAACTATGTTACCGTTACTCGTTACAGAATTAGAAAGGTAACTAGATACCGTTACTCGTTATCGAATAAAAAAGTAACTAGTTACCATTACCATTATTTAAAAAGTAACGATTCGTCCCTTTTTTCGTTACTTTCAATGCCAAAACGAGATAAGAGATAAGACTAAATAAGAAATAAATTTGTTCTTAAAATGCTACAAGGATAATTATAGGATTTTGATTATAGAATTGTTTGGATAAGATTATCGCTATCTTCACTGTATCCTCCCATACAGCACGCATGTCTAAAAGACATCTTATGACATCTTTAAGTTGTCTTTAAGTCGTCTAGACATACATATCTAAAAGACGTCTTAAAAATGTCTTTTAAACATGCGTACTGTATGGACTGTATATCACATACTTGCATACTTGCGCACTAGCGCCTAAAGCTTTATAACTTATAAGGTTTCACAACTTATAAGGGCCAGTTTCACAAACGCCGGTTAACTGCTAACCGAAGGTTAATTGTTTCTCTGTCTCTTCTTAGAGAACAAGATAGAAAAAGATAGGGAGTCGACTAAACCCTAATTAACTGATAACCGATGTTTGTGAAACTGGCCCTTAGTCTTACAACATATACAGTATTAAAACTTGAAGATCGATTCATAAAGTATATGTATAAAAGATTTATAAAGTATAAAATATGAAAAATAACGATAAAAATAACTGTTATATTTGTTACTGTTACTAAGACAAAGTAACTACGTTACCGTTACAGTTACAGAAAGAAAGTGTAACGCCGTTACCAATTCGTTACCAAATAAAAGTAACTGTAACGGTAACGGCGTTACAAGTAACGCGTTACTTCCCAACCATGCATATATGTAATACTTCTACATAACATGTTTTTATTAAATCTTATAAAATGTTAAAATTAATTTTGAACATAACTCACGCAGCATACTTTATTAGGGATTAAACTAACTTTAATTCTATTATTAATTTTAATATAACTCACTTTATTTCAATCTCTATTTTACGCAACGAAGTCAGATTATTGCTGACAAAAAGTGCATTTTCTTCCGACTTACGTTAATAATTCGTTCCTCTGTCCATTTGATTTCAGTTTGGAATCGTTTTTCCGCTGATGCCGATTCGTCGCACTGCGGAAGAAAGTGTCGCGTTTATCAAACTGTTTATCGAAATCAAAGTGTGGAAAAGTCATCATGGATCCTACTTCAGAAAACAACGTGAATGGAGTCGGTGACGGCATCCACGACAGTACAAAGGATGTTACCTTCAACAACAGCAAGGGCATTATGTCGCATCTCTCCAAAATGGCTGCTGTGGATATTGAATTCAACGATGTGACATATGCAGTGAAGACTGGTCCAAGACGTAAGAATCATTTTTTAAGATTCATACACAAGAGACTTATACAGGGT